CCGGGATACTTCTTCCGGGCGCCTCAGTCACTGTCTCTTGTCCGCTTCACTCTCGGGTTCTCGAGGGGACCCGGCTGCTGGGGCCGGGGGGCAGAGGGGCGATGGTGACAGCCCGAGATTAGTGGCTCTCGCACGAGGCGTGAGACTTTCTGGACCGGTGAAGGACCTGACCTTGGAGCTAGGAGCTACAAGTGCGAAGGGGAGTGTTTGTGTTGGTGTGGCCAAGGTGAAGAAGGCTCTAGTTCCTCGGACTGCTTGGCGTGTTGGCTGCTTCTCCCACCTTCTCCGCAGAATGGAGCTAAGGACCCCCCTGAATCTAACCAGTGTCATCACACTCCCACTTCTTACACCCCCTGTGTCAATCAGCACGTCCCGATCGCTCACTACGTGCCTATCAGCTGGGCTGGTGCCACCGATATGACTTCGGGGGTGTGGGACAGCTAACACTGTCTCCTCCGGCCTCCTGCATCCATCCTCTTCGAGCCTTATCTTCTTCATGATCCTCGATCCATGTTGTGTTCTCTTCTCTCTTCTCTCATCTCTCCTTCCGATATAACTTGTTTCCAGATGTTGGCGGTGTGGTTGTCCCTCGCAGTTCCTTGCCAAGACGTGCCTCTGTGGCCGCCTCTGTGGCCGCCACCATCTGCAGGTTGTACACTTTCACCATCGGAACCACCATGAAGGCGCGTACCGCTGACGCGATGGTCGAGCCTGGACGGACCCTTCATCGCGCCGCAACGACGACCCGCCAGTTGACCTGTTGGAAAACTCGAAAGGGGGACGGCAACGGCGACGTCTACCCTCAGCATAAAAGCCAGGACTCCTCGTGTTCAACAAACGAGCCAACCCCCCAGTCTCAGCCTAGTCTCAACCTCGCAAGCACACACGACGCTCTGTACGAAGGCAGACTTCCCACGACTGGCTTTTCTAAGAATGACGAGTTCGATGGTAGTCGCGCTGAGCGACGACACCGGGTCAAGGTGAGCCTCCCCCTCCCTCCCCAGTTTGCCACTCGTCTCCTGGACAAAGAGTCCTTGCAAATATCGAACCTCTAACCGACTGTGGGACAGCGGTAGCAACGAAAGCCGGAAAATCGAGAGAGTTCCAACGTCGCGTTCAGATGGTTCCTCCATCCCCCTGAACCGCTATCTGTACGACTACAACGATCCCATCAACGCTCGCATGCAGGACCGGCTCCGATCCGACGGCGTCGTCCTTTACCTCTGGGTGCAGCTGGGATCACCAATGTACTCTCTGGTCAATACGATAATAACTCCCATCGTCCAGGGGGTCACGTCGAACCCTTGCTCGGGGTTCCTCTTCGGAATTGGGACGCAGTTTGACGCTGTCCCCTAAGCAAGAGCTATGTCCGAGCCTGATAAGGGCGATCCAGCATGGCTATTCATGGCGCTGGTCCTTGTGAGTTGATACACAACGCCAGGCTATGAGTAATGATCTAACCTTGGTATTAGTCATCAGTCTCAGCCAATAACTCGAGCTTTGCAACAAATTTTCCTTCTCTTGTCGACCAAACTTGGGCTAGTCCACTTGTCGAGTTCTTGATGATGTTGTTCTTCCATCCAATCACAATAATCCTTGGGGGATGTTGAGGGCTTGATCGATTGTTCCTTTTCCGAGAGGAGAAACGACGTCGTAATCAATTTTGTGTTGAAGTTAATGGGATGTGGTTTGAGAAATGAGGTGGTCTATAAGGAAACATGTGGAAGCTGGGAGACAGGCTCGCGCAACTCTCAGGGGAACATTGGATGTCCATGGGGCTCGAACTTGCCAATAGCTTTAATGATAGACCATGGTAGCAATTCTTCTTCCGCCTGTTATGTATGACATGACAGGACTCCACAACTTTCTGACTGGACTTCTTGGCTTTAGTAAACCGGACTTCCCAATGTAGACCTTGCTAACAATGATGATGATACTTACGGAGTCGCTGTCTGATCCCTATCGAGGTTATGTGTTACTAAAAAGGTCGAAATGCTCTGGTAAGGCTCATTGCTATCCTTTCCTACTTGCTATACCCGGATATTCGAGCCAGAGCAAGTTCCAGAGGCTTGGAGGGTTATGGTGGCCTCAGGCACTAACAGCCAGGGTTGAGACTTGAGACACGTTTCTTGGAACCCCAAATAAGCACACTCGCTAACCAATTCCCCTCTTCCAACAGAACTTCTAGTTGGGTTTCATCCATCGGACGTCTCCAAGATGTCTCATTATATTGAGCATTTGGCGCATGGGCGCGGCGAACTCACTGTCCAAGTTCGTTGGGGTCATGTCAGATTGATCGTCAATCTCGACAAAAGTCCTTGCCCTGACGCTACGAAGAATCAGCTCATCGAAAAGTACACCGCTGCGTGCTTCAGCGGCGATGATAATGACGAGGAGTTTGACGCTCAAGGTGAGATACTGGACGTCATTGCCGCGGCCGGCGCTTCCATTCTTGACGAGATCGCCTCCATCCACCCCGAGGCCAACTGATCTCCATTCGATCCTATTTCCATGCGAGTACCACTTAAATCTCGTTACTACAGCTGGCAAACCGACGCTACTTCTTGAAAGATCTTACAGGCTTCAAATGTCTGCAAGTCCCAGCGACGGCTACGAAGCCGTAATTCCCAATCCTAGCTTGCAGGCGCAGTTCTCTACGCCCGAGTACGAACTCGATGTCAAAGGGGGCTTGGATGCAAAGAAGTATCCTACAACAGATATCCTGATACTTGAAAAGCTCCTTAGCGATGGCTACGTCACGCATATTTTGGTTGATGGACACCAAATGTGCGCCAAGGTTGGGAGAGACTAGCATGATTCCAAGGCGATACAAAGAGAGCTCGACTGCCTTGAAAAGATCACATCCCACGCCACCGAATACCCAGTACCAATCAACGTGCCGAAGCTTTTGGGTCTCATTACAGTGCCTAAGATGGGAAGATCATAGGCATATTGGAGGAGTTCATCATGCAGTCCGAGAACTTGGAGCTGTCAACAGTGGGGATGATAGAGGACATGTCGACAATTTTCAAAGATCGAAGAGAAGCATGGGCGTTCCGGATTCGACAGACGGTCGATTGGCTATATGAGATCGGTGTCATCTGTGGGGATGGAAAGGCGGATAACATTCTCATTCATCCCGAAACCGACGAGCCGTGGTTGATAGATTTCGGCGGAAGCAGGACGGGAGGTTGGCTTGACAAAGACCTTGAGGAAACGCTTGAAGGGGATAAACAGGTAGTCAAAAAGATCGTTGACTTCCTACAAGTTGCATAGAGATGAGTCCAATCAGGAGCACGCTCGAGTACATTCACATGCTGTAACGATAGAGAGACTGAACAATACGATTTGACCAGTTCTGTCCTCCAGTGTCGAGGAATTATGGGTATCTACTTTTCCCATCCTAGCTCACTCGCAAACTAATCAGTGAATCACGGATGATTATCAACAAACTAAGAAGACAGCTTTCGAGTCTCGATAAGGCCGTTTGAAATTAGGCTTGGGATCGCTTGTTGTTCCGCCCACTCGGTGCACTTGATCAGCGGCACACGAGCTTCTCCTGGCTCGTAGAAGACCAAAGGATCCCAAGATTTAACAGGTTCCGTCCTCATAGTTCCAATATTAAAGGCCTTTTGCTTCGGTGGTGGTGGAATGGCCTTGAGGTGACTGTCCCATTTCTCCGGGTAGATGTTCGCCTTTGTATAGCCGATAAGTTCCATTGTAGCGAAGTTTTCGAAGCTCTCGGGGTTACCATACGGCTCTGCTTCGTACTGCATGCCTTGAACGAGATCGCCCGTGACGTGGTGCTTGACACCGCTGCCTGGCCCTTGCCCGTTTGTCTCGACGAAAATGACGGTGTGGAATCGGGGTCCTGACATGTCCGGATCTTGCATTACCAGGGTGCACTTGAGCTTGAAGACTCGGTATGACTTGCAGTTGGGCATGAGGGAAGTTGGGTTGAGGTGAAATTGATGAAAAGAAAGAGTTGGGGGTTGCTGAGTTACTAATTTGAAGCATGGTTGGTTCAAGGGCTGACGATGAGACAAGGGGTGGCCGCTTGAATGTTATTCCGGCCTGGTTCTGGTCCGAATCGAAGCTGTGCTCGATGTGATTATTTATTTTCTTGCCCTAATGCAATGTCTCGGGAGTAGAAATGTTTTCAACCCGAGTATCGTGTCCCAAAAGGCACATTTTCGACACGAGAAGTACTCTTAGACACTCATTTTCACTTCTTCATACCAAGTGGCCTCCATTTGTTGACCGTCGGGCCCCACTCCTGACACTTGTCTAAATAGCCATAGATCTATTCGTCTGGATGCTCTCATTCTTTGTGGTCTTCGCGGCTAGTAGGCAGTTAATACGCTGTCAATTCAGCGATGGCTGACATCCTCGAAGACGTTCCAACATCGCCACCACAAGTTTTGTTCGCATTTCAGGGTTGACGAAATAATGAGCGTTTAGTCGCTCTATGGTGCCAGAGACCTTTACTAAGCATGTAACTGATCCGAGAAACTACGGTTGTGGTTCTGTGTAGAGTTTGTATTCTACCGGTAGAATTGTGAACGTTGGAAGATGCACTAAATCTAAGGCATTGAATCCCTGACGTGTGGCAGGGATAACTCAATTTGCGCGTACTTTCTGTCATGCCTGCGTAGAATCTGGGCTGCGCTACTGCATTTTCTCCAAGATCTGCCGCTTGGGAGAGCGGGATTGGCTACACCTTTCGGGAGCTTGACAGAAAGATGGGACTAGCAGGGGGGATGAACAGGGATTGTGGACCCTGGACACACATATATAAAGCCCCTCCTCCCTCCTCTCGTCCTACGATCTGCCTGTATCATACTCGCGATGCGTTTCTCTTTCGATGATTCCTTTTGACAACGACCCTCATTGCACTCGCCTGAAATGGAAAGGGGACTGCTTACCCGCAGATGCATCCATCAGACCGTTCTTGCCTTGACAGACGTTATATGTTAGTATTACGGCACTCATCTCAACGGCCCAGACTGGTGTAATGGTAACACGACGCGTCGACCGATCATGGAGGCGTTTCGCCAGAGAAGTGTATCCGGGAATCTGGGTTCGACTCCCAGGTCTGGGCCGGTTCTTTTTTTTTTTGTTTTTTAATTATCAGCGGATGTCCCAGGTTATCATCTATTGGTAATCTGTGACCGCTGTCACCCCAAGCAACACATCAAGACTGGTGTAATGGAACACATATGGAAGTCCACGATGCAGGAGTGTATGGCCCTTTGAGGGACAGCGAATCCCGGGTTTGGGCCTTTCATTTTTGCTGTAATTGCCCTTTCTGGACCTTTCGGTGAATTATATTTGCCTCTTTTCTTTTCTCGCTCCCTCAGTCACTTACGGTCTGGCGAACCGCGTTGAGAGGGAGTATAATGATAGTAGTAAAAAAGAACTGTTATTAAGTACAATAGGTTTCGTCTGGCTGTTGAGTTAAAAAGGTTATGACTATAACACAAATTCTGCGACTGAATGTAGTTTTCTAATGTCATCTTTCGCATTAATGAAATTACACACCTCGGATACTAGGAGGTAAATTAAGTGGCTCGCTTGGTAGGTAACTTGGTTTCACTTTCACTTGTCAACATAAATCCCCGCTTACTCTACTGAGTAACCCCCCCCCCCACTTGACTTCGTCTCTCCTCCCGGGTTCGATCTTTTCTTAGCCTCCTTCTCCTCCTTGTCCCAGAAGCAGGCCGCACACATTTCACAACCCTTCAAGTCCGTGTGGAATCGGTTGGGGCAATAAAGCTCTTTGCAAAGTCCGCATTGTGTTATCAATGGGCGCGTTCCATTCAACATCATAGTCTCCACTTCCTCGTTCGCAAGCTTGATGAAACAAGGCCTGCAACGCGACTGGAGGATCATCCAGCCTGGCTCCGATTTGCAATTTCTGCAGGGATATATTGGCCCGGCTCTGGTACTTGGTGTCGACATTTTGAGATGGTATTGTGGATTGTGGTGAAGTCTTTTGGATGGTTGTATCATTACTACATTTTAGGAACGTGGAAATATGCAAGCTCATATAGCTGGGTGAGTAGGTAGTAAAGTTGGTTCGCTCACAGTCAAAGAAGAGCGTCAGTTTGTGATAATCAGTTAACTAGTTCTCAAGTACGTACATTCAAGCTACTCAAGAGGCCTCGAGTCTGTGATTCTCCCCGTCTCAGCTAGGAGCTGCCCAAGTCACGCTGACCGCTGAGCGCAGTGGACGCCTAGCATTCCCGAGATTGTTCCTGGCCTGGTTAATAGATCCGCGTGCGTTGATGCTCCACTCTAGCGTAAATAAGACAAAGGGTCTCGCCGTGTGTGAAGATGGGTTGCATACCCGTAGGTGTATTACACCTAATCGTGAATAGATGCGAGCAACGCAGACGAGACAGGTCTGCCTTGTAGAGGCGTACCAACAAGTGCATCGACAAGGGCAGTTACTTGATCCACTACAACCATCATACGGTCTAACGAAATCTACTAAAACCCTTAACCATATACTGATCCCATCCCTAAACTGTCCTCAACCCTAACCATCCCTAACCTCTATCCCTAACCACTTCCTGGCTTTAGGTCTTGCTTTAATTAGCCGAATGGGCTCAGCAAACAGCACTGCCCTTTAATTCCCGTACAAAAACAAGCCAAAGCTTTGCCGGGTGGTTAATGTAGCAAAAGTTGTTGGTGCCCCCAGCAATACTCGTGAGGACCTCAACACGGTTACATGGTAATACATTTCTCAATCTCTCGCACCAAATCACATAACATTCGCCCATTTCCCACTCCATCGACGCAATGCCATATCCAATCAACCTTGAATCTCAGCCCTAATCTCATCGATTGCCTCCTTACCAGCTTTGGCATCCTCATCCACACGTCTGCGAAACGCAGGGTCCTGCTCGCTCTCCAACGCCACGTTGTCGCTAAGAATAATATCCAAGGTTCGATGAATAGAAGAAAGATACGACGCAACCGCAATACTGATCTTCTCTTGCACTTCATCTGCAAGAATATGGAAACTGTTCTTGAAATCCTTCATCAAGCCACGGAACAGGTCGTCGCGTGCAAGCGCCGCGTTGATGATGCCCTTTCGTCGGGCATCACTTCCGCGTCCTAAGACCAACCAATCACGTTAGACATACGTACAAGTATCGCCAGAAAGATACGAGGTTCCAGTTCGCTTCGTTATTTCACTTACCACTTTCCAGGTTGCAAGACCGGTAGGCACCTTGCATCGCTTGTCCGATGAGCGAAGTCTGAATTCCAGACATTACATCCGTGCGCAGAGTTCTATTCAAATGTCAGCTCTTAGATATGGAACGCATGTTGGCATGTGACCAACTTTGAAGTTGCTCCAAACTCCTCGTAAACTTGTTCGATACTGCCTAGCAGGACTTGCTGTTGCGATTCAAGTGCATCGACCAGGGGGTCCGCTATCTCTGGGATGTCCAAGTCATCCTCTGAGAACTCAGTCAGCATGAACTCAATGAGTAGTAGTGCTACTGTCACCAAACGCGCCCGTGAAGGTTTTGGGCAAAGTTGCCACATGGTATCGCAGCTTCTCGTGTCTAGAAAGGGGGCCAGTTATTCCGGAACAAAGACTTGCCTAAAAGTTGAGTGGACCAGTCGGTCAAGTCTTCAAGCAAATCTCCAGCCTCCACCTCTCGATCCTCAACGCAAGAACACAAGGCTTCCCATGATCTTTTTAGGTCCTATACCATTTGGTCGATGGCCTCCTCGTTCTAGTTGTGCTTTCCAGCTACTAGGGTACAATAATCGCCATATCACTGCATCCCTAACTTTTCTCAGAGCCAAACGCCCACGCTCTGCTTTCGCCTCCCTCCCTCTTCGCCTCAATCATTGTAATCACAGGGCTACAAGACCTCGTCGCTGCCTAGGAAGTGTCACAACGGCATTATATCCGCAGTCCAAACTACCTTCACGTCCTTCAGCTCCGATGATGCTCAGACCTGTTCCCAGGCCCGTCGCTGGCATCGAGGAGGAGGTCAAGCTCACTGTCGAGCAGATCCAATATGTCCTGATTTCAACTGATGCCTTCGTCGGTTTCAACACCGACGCTTTGAATTCCATCCTTTTCCTTGTCTATTTCACTCAATTTGGCGATACCATTTCTTAGGACAAGCTTCGCCGTTTCTACGCAGATGTCCTGGAACGTGACGACGTCTTCCAACCCGCCTTCAGCAGCACTGTGATCTTTTACGGAATCAATGACAGCCATCTGAACACTGAGCCAGACGTCTCCCAGGAGCTTACGGCGTGGAACACCAAGCACCATATTTTTGTCGCAGGCGATCCCACCTACAAGGCCGCTCCCGGTCCGTATGTCTTCGTCAAGGCACAGGTCTGGCAGCCGTGGAGAATCTACTATGACTTCAATGCCACTTTCATGTGCTCATTCAAGCCGTCACCGGACAAGCTTGGCGGATAAGTCTTCCCCTACTCCCACCGTCCCATAGTATGGAGTGCTAATATCGTTAAACACTAGCCAGGCTTGATGCGCCAGAGGCAGGCATCGATGGCCGAGTCGTTGTCCCCTCTCGCTGTTACTATAACCCGTCCGCTTCTCGCCCTCTCGATGGCGCTAGGATTGGCGTCAAAGACAGCATCGATATCGCCGGCCACAAGACGACCCTGAACAACCGTGCGTGGCGAGAGCTCTATCCGCCAGCGACGAAGCACGCTCACTGCGTTCGGCTGCTTCTAGATGCTGGAGCCATCGTCGTGGGAAAGCTGAAGTTGCAAGCCCTCATTGTCCGAGAGGAACCTATCGAAGTCGTTGAGTTCACGGATCCTTTCAACCCGCGCGGCGACGGATATCAGGTGCCCTCTGGCAGCAGCAGTGGGAGCGCGGCAGTAAGTGGCTCTTACGACTGGCTCGACTTCTCTCTCGGGTCCGACAGTATGCCTCCATTCCATATCCCCCGGCCTTTCGGTTAGCTGACCGATGCAGCGAACGGAAGCGTGCGTAAGCTCGCCCATTACAATGGGTGCCACACCATCCGCCCAACAACAGGTGTCATGAACACCGATGGAGTCGTCGGTCAGTTCCCGTAATGCAACCCCTTCTTTTTCCCCCTTGTTTCGTGTTAGCTCTCTTCCAATGGGCTTGCCTTAGAGAGTTTGGCATGCCTGGGTTCAATTGCTTCGCTCACACTCGCCCAGATGCCGATCAAGATCCTCTATCCTCATGACTACCTGCCGACCCCGAACGCCGATCAGACCCGCGTCATCGATCAATTCGTTTCTGGCCTTGAAACTGCCTTAAATGTGAAGCGTACTGGTATCTCCATTGCCCAGCGATGGAAGGAAGACGCTCCTGATGGACAAGAGCACAACGATATTGCGAAATATCTTGACACTGTATGATCATGTCCACCACCAGGGTTGGCATCTTTACTCATTCATTCTAGGCCGGCATTTACCCATTTTTCCACGATGGTTTATTTCGCTCTGGAGCCCTTCCGAAACGAATACAAGGAAAAGTTCGGCAAGGCCCCATTCGTCCACCGCCACGTCGAATGGCAATAGTAACGTTGTGCTCGAAGAATTGGTATCTCTAACAAGCCACTCACTACGTTATTAGGAGCGTAGCACGTACAATCTCAACCCAAGAGCGTGATGAATACTGGCGTCGTTGCCAAGTTTATCGGCAATGGCTCCTGGACAAGATTTTCGAGGCCGAGGACAAGGACAGCCTGAGCATCATGGTCTTTCCGATCGAAATTGGCAAGCCTAATTACCGTGATGCGCCAGAACCGTAAGTCTTTCCATTGTGTAAACGACGGCAAGAAGGCCGCTAATAAGCCATCAACAGACCTTATGGCCTGTTAAACGGCTACGCATCCTTGAACATGTCTCCTATCATGCGAGCCCCCGAAGTCACTACTATTGGTACTCTCTAGACTCTATCAAGCGCCAGTACATTTCTAACTAGTCGCTGCAGTGGGACAGATCTCCTTTGAGTCTACCGTTTCGAAGCGAGTGGAACCATACCCTGTCGCAGCATCTGTCATTTGACCTCCATGTAAGCACCAGTTTGTCCCAATTATGCTGTTCCAGCCTTGCTTGCTT